AGCGTCGTCCCTCAGCCGCAAGCTGGCGTATTGTTACCATCTGGTATTCCATCGGCCACTATTGGCGGGAGCAAAGAGGGAATCGTATTGAGAGATACAGTAGCTTTAGACGAGTACCAGCAGAAACTACAGGAGATGACCAAGTCCTGGCCACAGTTTCTGTCCAACACAGGTTATGGTAATAATTACCAAAGCCAACTGGTTACTGCGGGCTACTCGACAGATGCCTCTCCATCTTCCATGTTTAGTGGTTCCATCAACTGGCCAATAAACTTTGCCCAACCCAAGCAAAGTTATGATGTGAAGGAAGACACCATGGAACCACCACACGATTTCAGAACGATGCCTATTCAGACCTCTCCTTATCACACGTTTCCTGTTCCCATGAACGTGGCACTCCCAACAGTTTCACAAGCGGTACACGGCTAGAATTTAGGATGGTTCAGGTTAGGTTAAATCTTTTTATGGATCACATGACATGCATGGCGGACGAATGCGCGGACCCATGTGCAATTAGATTACGACGACTGCAAAAGGGAGAGGAACTATGAAGTTCTACAAGATAGGTTGTCTTTGTTCAAGTTTTTGACGAATTTAAGGATACTCTCCTTTATAGGATTTCTACAGAAAGTTATAGCGGATGAAATATGTAACTGCATTGTTGGCCAGATTCTGAGGATTTTAGGTTAGTGAAAAGTTGAAAGTTATAATTATCAAGAAGGCTTTGTTTTGAAATGCAGATGTGTAGAGAAATTTTTTAATAACCATAATGGCAGTTTTGAACATAATAACATAGGCAAATAAAATGCAAAAGTGAATTTGCAAACTTGTATCGTAGCGCCATTAACGTACAGTCTCTAATACGTTCCTGAGACACCGGTGAAAGTAATTTTTTCTTTATCCATTATTTCGCGTCGAACAGCTAGGCGAAACAGGTTCTTCTCGACGTGGAAAGTTCGAATTACATTCTACACATTATGTACTAGACTTGTACTTGAACTTTGAATCGTTTAAATTGTATATATTGAAGGGTGAGAAGTGACAAAGATTTATTTTTTTAACTTTAATTCTTTGAATTAGTACAACATTTAACATTTATTTTAATCTTTAGGTAATTATCATTGGCTTTTTTAAAACACCAATACACACGAAGAAGGAATTTTGAAAAATTCTTCCACCAGTAATATTACATTTCGCGTACACGAGAATAAAACCTGGCATCCTTTCCTTCTTCAAAAGTGACCAGTCCACTAAAAAGGTGATCATGGGATCCAGGTAAAAATGAAATACATGCTGTACTTTCCTTCCCTGCTGCAATTATCGCTCAGTCCGTCAGCGTCCATTCGATTAAGCTAACGCCACACGGGTTCATTTTTACCACTTAATCTCTTGCAAGTACAGATACATTAATTCCGTTTCTGTCTTCCTTCAATACCAATAATACCAATATACCTCTAAGCTTCCAAAAATCTACACTTCAATTAAACTGAAACAGCAACATTGTTCACAACAAACATTGTTCAACTAGATTTCCAATAGAGGCATTAAATACATATTAACATTTAATTTGTTATAGGTTAAGATTCTTAACATTCCATTTAAGTTATCAAGATGATGTCGACATGCGAGCATTATATACATTTGAATTTCCATAAATTTACACTTTAATTAAACTGAAACAATTCCCTACAACAACAATCGTTTTATAAAATTTTGAATTAAGGTATCAAACATTAACATCCAATTACCAACAATTATTAACACTTCATTTCCTATAGGATAAGGTTGTTAAAATTTTATATCAGTTATCAAGATAATATTGGCACGCGTGAAAAAGACTTAATCGAGTGTACGGTCCAGCGATCAAGGCGGATGAAGCGATCGGTCGGCAGCCTCGAACAAGAACAAAATAATGATCGAATGCCATGGTCGCGAGGATCACATCTTCTCCGTTTACTTTCACTCCGAGGTCCGATGACCGGCTGAACGTTCGAAAGTTGAGAAAGTCGCTCTATCGCGCGAAGACTCGAGATCCTCCTGATCTTTTTAGCTCGCCGCCTTCATCTCGCCCCTAACCCCGCTGCTCAATCCTGAGAAGACGCTTTATTATCCGAGACGAGTTCACGTGCAAGCTGGAAGGTTCACGTCGCGAACAATCGAGCTCGATTTCCATGATGTTCACGTGCGTTTCTGCGAGTCGAGTTTCCCATAGATGTTGCGTTTTACAATAATATTTGAAATGAAATCGAGATCTCTCGAAAATTTTAAGAGTATAATTTTATTGTTCTTTCTGCATTCGTGGTGAAGAAAGAACCACGAATAATTTTTTAATTTTTAACTTGTTTAGATTGTAAAAGAAGAACATAATGTATTCGTATGGCAATATTTAGTAGTATAAAAAGATAAGAATAAGAAGATATAATGTATGAAAATTTTGAAAAATTATTGAGTTTACAAATTTTATCGTAAATAGTAAGGAGAAAATTTGAGGTTTCGATTCCTATGTCAATGATATTTTAATAAAATTGTGATAAATAAATTTTACGAGCTTAATACCATTTTTTAAAATACTCAGAGACTGCTTTATTTAATCCGCGAAAGCCCCAGTGAGACAGAGAATAAAAAAAGAAGGAAAACAAAAAGGAGAGGGGGATATCAAAAGAAAAGGAAGTGTAGAACTCGTTGGCGTTTCCATAGTTTCTCGTCACGAAAGAAAGTATCAAATACTCTACTTATTTCAGTAAAACGCAGTAGAGCCCGTTAAAGGATACCCAAGGCAGTAAATACCATCCTGATAAGATCGTTGATTTTGCTAGTACTTTGTAAGGTGGTTCACGCAAGCCACTCTGTGAAAGGAAGCAGAGAGTCATAGAAAAAGACTCATGGAAACAGGTTGACAGGCATGCAGATGCGACAGTTGTAACTTCTTGTAGTGTAAAGTGACTTTGAACAAGTATGATGGCTTATGCAGAAAGCAAGAATCGTTTTGAATTAAAGAACTAGATCTGAAGAATTATACTGACCAAATACGTGATTTAATTGTCCACTGAAACTGGTTAATCCACTCAAGTTTGATTTTATTTATTTTCTTGGTATATTCTATTTCTTGATGGAAATCTTTTGATTTCGCAGTAGAGTTTTGCTCTTGAAACACTGGAAAAGAGTAAGTTTTTGTTTTCCTATTTCATTTTATCATTTAAGAAACATATGATATAGCACAAAATTTCATTATCACTTAAGGCGAGTCTATTAAACTGAAACTATTCTCTGAAACCAACTTGATATAATTATTATTCAATAACATGGTTCCATCATTTAATATCCATAATTGTTGGCTCGTTCATACATTGTATGGAAGTTTCGAGCAAAGTCTGCACATGATATAAACACACCAGTAAAGTATCAGGGAACTGAAGCATCAATTTCAAGGAATCGAAGTTGCTAATTTCAAGCAAACGTGCACGTGAACGTAAATTCCAACGAGGTTGCAGTTGATTAACAGGTTGAACAACGGAAGTAAACAGTTGTTTGATCTATAGTAGGAACAAGGGATACTAGCTGAGCAAAAAGAAAAAGGCCACCTTCTTTGAATGCTTTGGAAAAGCGGAAAATAGGCACTTTGTAATTATCTCTAGACTTACAACTGTAATAAACCACTGCTCGATGCCTACTTTTGGTATCGTCGTCACGGTCACTTTATTCTTCGCGAGAAGGCAAGATTTTTCTTTCCGGTGAATTCTAGTCTCTACTTCTAATGGATAAGATCAAGGAATAGTAATAGGCTGATTCATTCTAACATTGCAACGAAAGTGCATTCACTTAGTTGATAATTAAATCAACGCTTAATTAATCATTTGCCTATCTATTTTTTTCAAGAATTAACCAGTACATTTAATTCATTTATTAACTTCGTGAGATTTCTTTCATATATAATGTACAAGCATACGCCAAAACCGATGTTTACATCACATACAAAATCCAAAGCATGCAAAGGGTCGACGTCCTCGAAAGTTTCTTATAACATTCGTTTAACGAAACTCGATACTAACGCTAAGTTAAAGTGAAATTTTTAGAGTAGTGGTAGAAGAAAGTTTCAAATAAGGGATGCAAACATTCTTTGTTTTGAGTACTTCTTTTCTATCAATATCCTTTAACATACTAGAAAATGTAACGGGAGCAGAAACGCAGTCGAATTCTAGACCAACAAACTCATCGACCCCAAAATTCCTCCGTTCTCGACCGAACTTTCTTCTTCTCGATCCACACCACGAGACTTTGCCATAAGAAAGGAAACGAATATTCATAAAAACAAGATATTTACAAAGATCTGCAATACTCAAGAATTTATTGCATTCGCGAAAGCGATTGACCTACGTAGGTACTCTTGGTCAGACCATTCTTCTTGCGATATGGATGACAGAGAAGATTCAGAGGGATCTGGAAAGTGGTAGGCTACGTAACGACGCGGGGTAGAATTTCCAATTCTTTCGAGAAGAGAATCTCTCTGGGGACCGGAACACGAAAATGGAAGAAGTGAAAGGGCATGCCGGAGTCACCTCGAGTGCAGAGTCTCACGCGAATATATTCGATCTCTCCACCTCACCTCTCCTCGTCCTCGCCAATCTTCTCTCCCTCGTGTTCCCTTTTCCGCCAGCTCTTTTCGTGTATCACCACTTTCTATTTCGTTCCCTGGCAACAGTCAGCCATTAAAGCGAACAACGCTCGTGAACCAGCTCGATTAATGACTCGGGAACCCGAGCCATCGTCAGCGTAATCGTCGTGCAATGACAGCAAGGTTGCGCGATGATCTTGAGTGATCTTCGTAGTTGTGCTACGTCCTCGCGAAAAGAAGACTTCATGCTTCGTGGCTTTTATGAATTTCTATATACACTTGATGAAATATTGGATGTGCTTGTCGGAGTCCGGTATGGTAGGTATAACAAGTGAATCTTCACACTGTTCCACTTTTACTCGGCCAGTTAGGGAAGTCGAAGAAAAGTGGACGAAGAAGTTTCTGAAAGCGAAAACTGTTTTACATCTGGAAGTTTATTGCTCCTGGCTTTGAATGCGTGATTATTGCGTCATTGATCTATTTGGAGCCGTTGTCAAGGACATTGAAAAATTTGTACTTTCTTAATTAATTCGTAATTCTAAATAAGATCGTAGAGAGTCATGGGATTTTCTTCCCATTGCGGTTGTGTTCGAGTTGGGTGTTGAAGAAAGTGACTACATGGCGATAATGAAGAGATTTAAAGATTCTTCTTGCACCTATTAACCTTGCATATAGAAGTAAATGTTCTACTAATTTAATAACTAGATATTATACAACTAATAAAACAGTAACAAGTTGCGGATTCTCAAGATTTTATATAACAGAATCATTTTCTTTCGTGGGATACGACTTATGACATGATTGTGTATATTTGTATTTCACAATACTCATATGCAAGGCATGTATAATCATTTTTTCTACCCACTATTAGTCATTTAAGGTTATTCAATGTCAGCCTGTATTATTTAACATGTATTACCATAATTTTTCAATGTCATTAACTGTATTCAATTCATTATTCCCTTATCGTCAAGGTTATTCGAAATCACGTAAGTCTACTCATAAAAACAACATTCAACCTCATCCATATATGTGCCCAAGACCAATATGAAATTTACAATACGTGTAACGAAAACTCGAATCAACCAAAGATTAAATCGAAACGGTTTCGCGGTGAAATCCAAACTACTGAAGGCTTTGAAGACTGTCGAAGAGACGCGGTATCGATCAAAGATCGCTTTCTTTCGCACGAGAGTGAACAGTGTAGAATCGGTTTCCGATTAAAAGCGGGATGCCAATCGTCCGTGCGTTACCGTTCTCTCCGTTCACTTTGTCGTAGCTTTTTAAGTCGACCAACCCCATCGGGAATGCCAATGTCGAGATTCCTAATCGATTTCTCCAAGCATTCATCAATAGTTGCACGTATTGTAGTTACGACACCGTTACCTTTGAGGCGACCGCTGAAACGGTTTAACCAGTTTGGTCTGTTTTTTTTTCCTACACCACTAACATTCTAAACGTGTTTCGATTGCGATGAATTTCATTAAACAGGGAACCTTGACATTGGAAGAATGTTTTGTAATCCTTCAATATTTATCGATAGTTAAAAATGAATTACTTTCTCATACCCTTTTTTTTTTGTAACATTTTTACATCATTTTTGCGTCTTATCCTGTAATTTAGTTTCCTCGGGGATCTAAAATAATAAATATAAGTAATACTTTTGCTTAATTTACAATATAATTCGTATCATTTACGAGTGATGGCACTCGACATAGAAATGATGTATAGATAGGTATTTACGTCACGTAAAATAATCAGCCATCTAGATTAGAGAGACCTCGTAGGTTGCTGCATCAAATGGTATATCGTCGGAGAGCATGAAAGTGATAGTGCTGGAGCCATTTTTTAACGAAACTGGTTTCTAGAGCATTCGAACTATTTATCGGACGGACGTCTTTGTAAGCATTCGACGGAGTCGATTACACTGGATAATTATACTCTTACCTTTCGATAATGATAGAACCTTATGCAATGTTTGTTTCCTTACTTTTCTTATCAATGACTGGGCATGTTGTTTGGAACTTGGTATCACATCTCGTATTACACGGAATCGATTTTTTTTTAATGTTAATAAGGATCTAGAAAAAAAGAAAGATTCCTGGATATTTCACATTACCATTAACCTTACGACTTTCACCTTGCAGAATTAAAATAAATCGTCCCAGAAACGAATTCGTTGACGATTCAAAATGACAGCAAATTTCACGAGAAAACGCAATTTTCTTAAAAGAATTTGCTGTTTCTATTGGACTGTGTTTTACCTTTCTTCTATTTTGTAAGATTGTTCCATTCGAAAGTGAATAAATTTATTGCTAATCAGCTGTATCCATGAATAACCAATAAGACAAAAAAGATGACAATGTTCATGTTTAAAGTCGATGTAAAATTCATATATAAATTAGAATTTAAAAGCCACGAATTTTTATTCTCTTCAAAGATGAATTCATTAAAAATTCATTAAAAGCAAAAATAATAACTGTATTTTATTGTCCTAAGAAAAATAATATACACACACGTGGTCATGGAATGTGAGGTTAACTATACGAATACACACACACACACATGCACATTTTTAAAATTGTAGAAAGAAAAAATTAATGATGCTGATAAACTTTCCATGATCCAACGATATAATGGAAATATTCAGTTTACAATTTTCACAAAATTATAGTTTTCATCGCGAATCTTCGCCTCACGTGCACACATCATTCGATTGTAGATCGCATTCTCTTCGCTCCATATTGACCTGGAAGTCGGGGGAAAGCGCCGCTAGATGTCACAAAAATTCAATCTGTCGATTTATGCAATGGCCTTCGAGGAAAGTAAATTGATACACAGAAGCGACGTAGGCCAGGTATCGTCGCATCGATGACGTTCGAGTCGCAGAGAACGAAAAGTGAAATGGAAAACGTTGCCTTTTTGCAGAAGCGTGTGTTCACCGAGCGTAGATGATATCTCTCCGTGACGCATTGGAATACCTGTTTCGATATCGCACGGGAAAAGAGGATGTGAGAGAGATACGTCCTACAGACAAATAAGTGGAAAAGTTTCGACCATCTTGAATTCACTTCTGGATTTCTATTTTTCTTGTTTTTTCCTTAGTAATGAGCACTTATACTTTTTAATTAATTAAGGTAATTTAGTTGATTGGTACATATAAAACTTCACTGATGAGTCGATATAAATTTTGACTTATCGTTCATCACGATTAACCATGCTTAAAAAGTGTTTCATTGTAATGCACATATATTATATATAATAACAAAATTTATTTTACATTAAATTGTTTTCTCTTTATTTTTTAAGATTGGTGTTTGAAATATTGTTGATGGGTTAATATCAGTCATTTTTTTATCTATCATCCTTAGCAATTGATATTCAAGAAAAAAATTTTGCTATGGCACAAATGTGTATGAATTTTTAAATGGTAAATCTATTGATTTTTTAAGTCTGGAATAATAAATTATTTTATTTAAATATAAGCTATTTTATAGGAACTATATTTGGACAAATCTACAATATTTTATTATGAAAATTAAAAAAAGGATTTTATACCATTTGATAAAACGATACAAATATTGTCTGAAGGAAACGATAAAAAGTAGTGAAACGATTTTCTAAATATGGAATTCACTACGTTCGTGGAGAAGGAAAGGAGCAAGTGAAAGAGTGGATTAAGAAATTCATAGCGTTTATTGTGGTTCGTGGGAATCAGTTTTTGTTATGGAAATACTTCCGCGCGTTTAATTAGGATACACATTGTTCCGTGTATTTTTTATATTCTTTTTCTCATTGTTGAGCTCGATATTGAAGAAGTAAATTCAACACATTAACTCGTATCACGTGATAACGTTTACTTTTTATTGAAAAATTAATTTTACTAAAAAATTACGTACAAAATGGAGAAATTCTGTAAATTCTAATACACTATCTAAACCTTCCATTACAATTCGTTACTTCTTCGTTACATAAAGTGCCAAGAAGTCGAGGTTCATATAATTAAACTTATTTAAGACCAATTTTCACTTCACAAAATAAAACAAACCTTTCATCGGTGACTTCTGATATACCAAGCTTCAATTTCTAGAAATCTCATCGGCCTCGTGCGATAATTACTTTATACACACAATCTCTCTATCCATGCCACGACGACTGCTCGTAAAATTTAATTCGCGATAACAAATTCCAATTTGCATCGTTTACCTGTTCGACCTGTTCTTATTACCACACGACCCAAATCACTTTACGTTCATACCCGTAATTTATTCGTATCATGAAAAATACAAGAACCTTGCTAAAACTAAAATTTGATTAACTCCACCAGTCACTAATCGTAATCCTAGAAGAAAACTAAACATTATCAAATTAAAATAATTTCTAAGGTAATCGCCAACAAATTTTCAAGTTTTCAAAAATTCAATTGCATTATATTTACAGAGAACCAACCGTTATTTTAGTTATCAAACATCCTTAGAAACTAAACACAGCAATCCACCTGTTTATTTCCTTGCGGAAGAAGACCTTGTTCCAGAAGATCGACCATCAGCGATTTGCTTGTTACTGTCCCAGAGGGGAGTAACGCCGAAAACCGCCCGGAGCGCGAATTTCTCTGGTAGCCGGCTCTGGGTCACGGCCGTTTCTGCACTAACACACATATGAATGACGCTGTTGATCTGGCTTATAGGTTTGAAGCATGGCCCGTGCGCACGAGAGCTCGAACACGGCCACCTTCGATTCGAATCTCCTCCGCTGGTTGGGTACCTCTCTTCCGGTACTTCATTCGGACTCGCTATATATATAGACAGGATCCTTGCTGGATATATATGACAGTGTGTTCCTGACCATCGAGTCGAGCTGACCGTAAAGGGACAAGAAGGTGCCGGAGAATCATGCAGCTGGAAATCAGTGTAAGGAGCAAGGAGATCTTGTGCTGATGAGACTTTTTTTGGATTTGATTGATGGATCTATGATGGAGAGGATGGAATTACATTTTTGTGACATGTTTAGTGGATCTGGGGGGTGGTTAGATCGATGATGGAGTAGTGGAGTGTTTTCGTGGTGTTAGGGTAACTGAATAACTAATTAGCGTTGCTAGTTAAGTAACTGATTTGTGTATTGTGATACCAGGCTAATGGTAGACTGCTCAGGAGGGAATGATGTATTAGGTTGTATCAGGAATGTTGAATGAATTGAATGTCTAGTTTATTAATCATATTTATGGTGCAAGAATAATGTAGATTTGTCTTTGCACCTTGAGGAACCCTAATAAATCAGAATTTTAAATTAGGATTTTAAATTCATTGATAAATTTTTCTCTGATTAATGACTATTGAATTTTAGACTTTCACAGGTTAGATTACTTCTAAATATTTTTATAAACATCTATAAATAATGGAAACTTTCAGATGTCAACTGTGTTCATTAGAGACTATATCAATCTCTTCTATTTACAGATGAGGTGTTTGATCTTCGCGACGACATTGACCGTTGCCTTTGCCACATTCGGACATGAACAGTAAGTACTTAACCATTTCAAATATACGATATACACTTAGCTACAGATGTTAAGTCATATTATTACTAAAATGATAATAATTGCCATACCCATATTCAATCGTTAACTTTTTAGCGTTCACATCAGAATCCACGTACCGGAGATAATTCAACATCAGGAAAAGAAAGTCATAAAATATGAAGATCATGGAGGACACGATCATGGGGGGGGCGGAGGTGGAGGTGGTGGAGATCATACCATAATAGTTACTTCACCTGGAGCAAGCCATGGAGGTGGACACGGAGGAGGTGGATTTGGAGGTGGTTTCGGAGGAGGAGGTCATGGAGGAGGTGGGTTCGGCGGTGGTTATGGTGGAGGTGGCCACGGTGGTGGCAGTTTTGGCGGACATATCAGCTTTGGAGGAGGCGGTCATGGGGGTGGCGGAGGATTTGGAGGTAATAATCCAGATCAAGAATTTAAAATGCGTCCAAATAGACTAAATAGATAGTCTTCTTCTCCTTGATAAAGGTCGACAAATGTAAACTTCTTTTCTTTTTTTGAGAAACAGACATTTTTTGTTTGTCCTGAAATTTTATAAAAATTGCTATTACTCTTATCAAACATTCAAACAGGAATAAAAAAAAAAAATAATAATTGTATTTACACCTTCACGTGTGGTGCTTGTTCTTGTAAACTTTCAGACCAAGCAGAAAAGTGTTTTAATACTCTAAAAGGAAGAGTTTATAGACCTAAAAAGATCAGGATACTTATGTAGAAAAAGGAGAATTTCGAGCATAATTTATGAAAATGATCATCGTTTATACAGTACCGGAAAATCCTGCTTGCATTTCGTGATTCCATAAGAGATAATGATAAAACATCTTCTCACGTTCTCTTTAACCGCTAGCGTTAACACCGGTCGTAGAACTAGTTTTATGAGTTTTCACTTCCGGCTCGTTTTGGAGCCAAGAATTTGTCCTGCACTCATGTACACGTGTGAGCAGTGTCATAAATCTTTATAACATGCATCTGCGTAGATCTTTACCACGATCTGCCATTGAATCTTTCGAATCGATTTATCAGGTTGGACGTTGACCGTGACCTTACTAAAATTTTAATTTATTCCTCTCCTACCAAATATATGCATTCTACTAAATAACTAAACAAGAAAAAAAAATATCAATAGTACAAAAATAAATGAAAAATACATTTATCAATATTTAAATAAAATTTTCTAGGCGGCCATGGTGATGTCATCATATCTGGATCTGGAGGAGGCCACGGTGGTGGATTCGACGATCACCACGGTGGCGGAGGATTTGGTGGAGGAGGTGGCTACGGTGGTAGTGGTGCAACGATTATTGAACACCATGGTGGTGGAGGATTTGGAGGAGGAGGAGGAGGAGGTCATGGAGGCGGCGGTGGTGGAGCTGTCATTGAACACCATGGTGGTGGAGGATTTGGAGGAGGTGCAGGTTATGGAGGCGGCGGTGGTGGAGCTATCATCGAACATCATGGTGGTGGAGGATTTGGAGCAGGTGGAGGTCATGGAGGCGGCGGTGGTATAGCTATCATTGAACACCACGGTGGTGGAGGATTTGGAGGAGGTGGAGGTTATGGTGGCGGCGGTGGTGGAGCTATCATCGAACACCATGGTGGTGGAGGATTTGGAGGAGGTGGTGGTGGTTTCGACGACCACCACGGTGGTGGAGGAGGAGGAGGAGGCGGTGGTGGTGCAACGATTATCGAACACCATGGTGGTGGAGGATTCGGAGGAGGCGGTGGACTCGATGACCACCACGGTGGAGGAGGATTCGGAGGCGGAGGTGGTTATGGAAGTAGTGGCGGTGGATTTGATGCACATCATGGAGGAGGAGGAGGTGGAGGAGGTGGTGGTGGATTTGACGATCATCATGGTGGCGGAGGGTTTGGAGGAGGAGGTGGATTTGGTGGTGGCCATGGAGGTGGCTATGGAAGCAGTGGTGGTGGAGGATTTAGTGGTATCGAACACCATGTCATCAGTAATAGCATATCTTCTGGCTTCGGTAGCAGGTAATGAAACATTCTGTCCTGCTTTTAATATCTGCAGTATTTACTTGACATTAGATTCTATATAACTAAATATCTAAATTCTTATTTCAGTGGCCATGGAGGTGGCGGCTATGGTGGCGGTGGCGGCTATGGTGGCGGTGGCGGTCACGGCGGTGGCTTCTCGGGATACCACAAAAAGAAATAAGTGCGATCTTCGGACCAATGTCGTGTTTCCGATCGGTTAGTTTGACCGACTTCCGAGTTCGTAGCGGCCAAGTGGTCCCCCAGTCGCGCTCTCGTCACGCGATCGTTACCATCACGTGATCCTCTATCGCGATCCATCACAGCACTGCCAGTACACATAACAGAACGCCAATTCAGAACGATCGTCCCGATTTCCCTCCACGATTTTCGGTATTCGACCTTCTTTCAACTCTCCTCGGACTTCAGGGATCATTTATCATTTACACTTTCGTTTTTAGAGACTATAAATTTATGTTACTCGTTTGTTGAACGTAGCAGTGGAAATGGAAAGTTTAGAAATTCGATCGAACGAAATTGGTATCGTCACTGAGTCTCACAGCACATTGAATGGAATGGGTCAATGTATACGTTAAATGATATCATTCTTCGTTGGCGGAATGAATTTGCAATTATTTGGTTAATAGGAAACGATCTGTAGAAAATTTTAGAAACGAGGAAGAGTGTATACTTGTCGAGTATATACTTGTCGAAAATTTACGATCAATCGTTCGTACACCTTCGTCGTAATCACGAGTGACGTTTTAGTTATTTTAATGACTACTCGCGTGCGTTTCGCAACTGCGACGCATCTACCTGATTGTATACTCGTTGCAGTTATCGTGTTTTGTATATATTATATGTTCTGTAAATATGTTTGTTTACTGTTATTTTTAATAAATTGTTTTGTATGTGTTTTTTAAATCATAATTCTTCTTTGTCCCTTAAATACAATATTTAAATTTAAACTTTGCAGTAATTTCAAATATACTAAATAAAATTCTAATTTTTAATTGAATTACAGTTACTCACCTGTCTGATCAAGTTTCTTGTACCTTCATGTCCTAATGCGTCCATTTACTGTCATTTACTGTCAATTCTCATTCCAAATACTATAAAGCTTTATGAAAAAATGTAAACACAAACATGCCATGACATAAATTAAAAAATAGCCATTTAATACCCAAACGTTAAGTTAGTTAAAAATTCTTATATCATTCACAGCTTTTGAGAAAAGAAGAAAAAATAAAATATTTCGGTTCTATTTCTCCAATACTCGACTTCTAACTACATCATAAATATTTTTCATCGTCAGATAGAGTTATAAACCAACTTAACAGACACAAAGTGACATTCCCACGGTTGCAAATCGTCGAGGTCGTTAGTTATCATAGGAAGTAATTAATCAAGGAAATCGGTTGAAGGAAGGCACAGGAACTTCGTGTCTTTCAATTGCTGTGAACTTGTTCACCATAATGGAATAAGTTTTCTGGAACGATAATTGCAGGTTAGTGCGGAGGATTAGTCCGAAATGGAAAGTAAACGGAAAGTGAAAGAGAGTAGATGTTACAGTATACAGAGGAGGACGATTTCACTCGTGTGGTCGTACATGTTCTTATGGCAGGTAACGCGGATATTGCCCTTGATCTACGATAGCCTCTGTAGAAGTTTCTCGTTTTGCAACAGCTCGAGAGTAATGTCTGAAGATCAACGATTGTATAAATAATCGGTTAAGAAGATGCAATTAATACAAAAATAACATCAGCAAAGAGGTTAAGCCTTTAAGTATGTACAATATAAGACCTTCCTCATCGTTATACTTTCTACTTCTTCATTTTTTTTTTTGGAGGTTATAATTAAGTGGTAATTGATACACTAAACGTAATCGCATTTGGTAACTATAATTTCGATAGGTTTAATTTCAGGGGAATATGTTTTGTAGTGTTTAACGTCTTTAATGTGGAATTAGGAACTTTTCAACTTGTAATTTAATATTCCGAATTTGAATTTGAAGCGTTTTAAATTATTTATTAATAATTACAAATGTTTAGATCATTTGGTTATTAATAGGTAAATATTGTAATTATTCATTTATTAATTCGTAATTATCAAAATTGATTTAATATGTGGAATTTCAATTTGAAATCTTTAAAAATTCTTATTCAAAAATTCATCACTATTAATTTCTGAAAGAAATAATCTGTTTTAAGGCTAAAACGTTTCAGTAATAATTCATTCCAATATTAAAACATTTATATAACACGTGATCAAATAGTACAACTTCTGCTACAGTTGATTTATCGTTTACACGTTTAATAAATGCGGTAACTTGAAAGTAGAGAAGAAGTATTGGTAATCGATAGATCTACGCACATAGTTACCAGCTAAAAGGGAATTCAGGAAGCTATTGCTCCTCAGAAAATGATCGTTCTCATAACAAATTGGTGAAAGCAAATAAAAATTGCGAATCGTTAACCATTCTCAGCGAGATATCTCTTTGCTGAAGAACGATGAAGCAGTTGCCTTAATTGGATTGATTTCGACTGAAATGAAAATGAAACTTTCTACACTGGGATCTCGATAAAGTATTCATATAAAGTTCTTTACTCCTCGATACAGCTATTAATTATGCTTATGAAATTCTAAAAGAACAACGTATTAATTGCATTATTAACTCGAATTTTCATTAGAAGTTTGCGTGTTGTAATGATTGGAATCAACAGCGATCTGAATAGTAAAAATAACAAGGAAAAGTAATGTAAGAATGTTCGAGAAAGAATACTCGTATGGACAATGTCATTATTGAAAAAAGATATGACACGTCACCTAGAAATAAAAATTAACGAATAATAAAAGTAACGAAAGAAATGAATAAATAATAACCTCGGAAAGAAGATAGTCTCACAATAACAATGTTATTATCAAAAGATATGATACAACAAGCATCATCCATGACTGTAATCCATCATTCACGGTTTCCACTTCACGCTGTAAAAGTATCATGATCGTAAGATTACGGTGAAAAGTTGTTCATTTGTCGATACAGGCGTCAAGAAAAAGGCACGACTCGCAGCAGGTCCATAGGAGGAGGGACTCGACCGAGAAAATAAAAAGAAATATTATTCCCCGTTTACTTTCTTCGTCCCATTGGCGTGGAACAATCAAATTCACGAGACTTTTGATGGTTGGATACGCTATTAAAAATTTTGTTCCACGTTAAATTTAATTAATCCGTAAAATCTGAGAGGCATTTTACTAGACTTACCAAAAACCATCGCAACACCGCGTTTACGATGATCATTATGTATCAAACGACACATTACGACAATGCGATATTGCTGTTGTTGGAGTAACAGAAGACAGAGAAAGTGAACGTTCCAGAGAGATCGAATGCTTTCGAAGGGCCATTTTACCATTTTTGTTTCTCCTTTTTCCCTGTGAAAATTGTAACAGCGAAACAGTATAAGGCTTAATTGTAACTTTCTATTAACACAACCGAATCTTGAAGGTTTTATGAATGAAAATAAATAGATTGGTGGGGAAGAAATAATAATAGGAATTGAAAGACTTGATTATGTGCAATCCTGAGCGTTTCCTGGTGAAATGGAACGTTTTTCAACTCGCAAATTACGGTAATGTTGGCCATAAAACACTTAGAGAACTGTAACTCACTGGTGAGTCTAAAATAAACAAGACAATTGACTTTTAGAATTATGGTAATTGAGTTTATGGTAAGGTGTCTGAATGGCATATATGGTTATGCAAAGTGTATAACAACACAGTGCATTGTAAATCTTTATGTCCTCCAACTTCCCTTCAGGAAGTGTGGTAATTATCCACAAATATTTTCCTAATGAATTTATCCTTTTAATTATTCATAAAACTTCTTTTTTTATTACTTAATAAATATGATTAAATAATATATATTTCCATATTTACTTTTCTAATTATCTACAAAATTTCTTCTTACCTGTAAATACATAAAATCAAATAAAACGTACTTCAATTTCTCCTCAACAAATTTACAAATCTAATTACTTATAGAACCCTTCACTTCCTTAATAAATGGAAATAATTGCTTCCCTCTTAAATCGTCGAAACTTAACCTCAAATTAATTCTGAAGAAACGATATATGCTATACATTCATATATAATTCGATCCCTTTCACGCGAGGGACAAATTGATGTCTACGACAATGATAGAAGGGGCACGTGAAATTTCACGTAATCTCAGGTGAGAGCGAGCATAGGGTTGGGTGGGGTGCACGCAGGAACTATTTTGCTCGTTCCTGTACCGTTCACTGATTATGCTTCCGTTTATAAGGCTTGCTAAGATTCCAGATTTTAGTCCCCGAAGCGCAACAGTCCTGGAATACGCTCAGATCTCAATAGTGCAACAGCAGAACCGGAAATGGCCAACCTTCGAGCACACGTGGGTGTCGACTTTGTTCCGTGATCTTTGCTTCGAGAAAAAGATCTCCCGCGTTCTTTGAAAATTCTCGACTAGACGGTGAACCATAGAATATATCAGACGCAGACATGGTGTCATAGTGACTTTAGATTTAAAAAGTTTTTTAGTCATTCGAAATGAATCTAGTTTTTCTTTGAACAGAATTATTGGATATTCGGTGAATATTTATGCACATATAATTTTTCTATATAATTTTTATTTCATGTCAAAGTATTTTGATCGGAGAAAGCAATCGGTTTCTAATCTATGAGTGCTTATATTTTATGACTGTACTAAGTTAGTCAAATGACAGTTTTAAAACTTTTGATTAAAAATTCTGAATTCGTTACTTTCGTCATTTGTTTTCACGACTTTCTCTGATATATGTGTATTGAATTTTTTAATTCCGATTTAATGTCTTTTCTTACTACGTTTCTTTTGAGAGTAGTGTGCAACCTGTTTCATCTATCGCAAGCAGTCGTGTGGCCGGTTATTTGATCGGTAGTGGTAGGTTTGGTGTGAAAGAAATGTTAATATAGTTATACGACGAATGGCAAATACCTGGTTGTAAACAATAAAAGAATCGTCACAACCACTCGATAATTTCACTTAGTTGACATTTAATGACGCGATCTGAGTGGCTGTACATTAGATGCTTTCACCACAACGTGAAATATTTCGTGCCGGTTCAAGTCACCATGTAAAACTACGCCAATTGTACCCCCCGTTATAACACTTGTGATAATTTGTGAAATTTTTAATCCTTAAGGGTCGGAGCTTTCTGTTATAATATGTATCTACAAGACGAAGGAATGTTATAATAAAAAAAAGAAAAAGATACGAAACTGATTTATTTATTTTACGTATATAAAACGGATTGATTCACGTTCGTATGATTAAAATTTTCGATTTACCAGCTTTTTA